CAAAAGGTAATGGCTGAGACATTGACCAACCATATAAGTTGTTAACATCAAGAAACAAAAGAGTTCTGGTAGGTTTTGAAGGATCATAGTTTGGCATGTATTTATTGTTGGCCTCTGATAATCGATTACTACATACCGAAATACCATCTCTAATTGCTTTTTCTATAAACATGATCATATCGATAGAATTAAAATTGGTAATTTACATTTTGTGTATTTCAACATAGCATCTCACGAATATCCGGGCATTGTAAAATATCATGCAGGATCTAAACCATAAGTTTTCAAAGCAGTTTTCCCAAAATTTTCCATCACATCTGCAAGTAGCAAAATATCAGTTTTCATATACAAATAACTATACTCTCTCAGACTTCCCATTTTGAATTCTTTCCATACATTTTGTGCATGAAGGTAGTCTTCTCTACACAATTCTACATCATTCAATTTATTGTAGAATTTTTCAATGGAAGGAAGTTGAGTATCATTCAATTTTTCAACATTATCCAAATAATCATAGGAAAATACCCCTTTCCTAGTCAACAGTTTGAATGTCTAGTGTCATCTGAATCTTCAAATTCAGACTTTGAATTCTGAAGATTGTTCATACCTAAAGTGGATTCGAGTTCATCAAGACTTGCACCCATAAATCTGAAAGAGTCAATAAAGCTAAATTTTATTCTACTATCACAATCATTGAGAGGGAAGGAAATATATTTTTCTTCGTTTAATGGAAGCACGCTCAGGGAACCTCGTTTGGCTAAATCTTTAATTATAAAGTGGGAATCATAATTTGACATATTATGACAAATAACTGGTACAACAAAGAGTTTTTTGAAAGAAATGTTGCATTCTTGATGCGCGGAGCCTTGAAATTGTCCCATGAAATGATCGTCGTCTCTAACGATGACATCATTAACCTTGAATATTTTTTCACAAATGTGACAAATTCGAAAATTCACGGTTTTTGGTTTTTCTATCATTGGCTCGATATTGAGTATTTTACCTTCCACAAACTGTGCTATATTCTTCATTTCAGTAGAAAATCATTCTATATAATCTTCACCTTCATAACTACTGAAATGAGAAAGGGAATCATCATAACAACACTTTAGATAATAGCCCACCGAAAATGCTTTATGTATTTGATATTTTGTCGTTGTTTGTGTAATTACACAGATAGGTCATAATAACGGTTTCACGCAGATACTATCCAGAAGTTATTCAGGAAACAAAGCCGGAAATTCACTTACAGATTAATATACCCTCAGGTCAAACAACCAGAAATCAAGAAATGGGTAACGCTAACATATTTTGGAAAAAGAACAGAAATTATCGCAGGTTTCTTCAGAAAAAACAATGTGGAAGTAGCATTCAGACCACATGCCAGGTTATCTCATTTTCTTTTCAATGCCAAAGATAAGGTCGACAAGTTGGAAAAATCTGGAATTTATAAGCTTAAGTGTCCGGAGTGTAATAGTGTTTATATGGGACAATGCGGACGAAATTTCCAAAAACGGTATGCTGAATATGAAAGGTCCTTCAGACTAGGAAAAAATGATTCGACGTTTTCAAACCATTCCTTGGCATGCAACCACAGGTTTCTAAATCTAAACGATACGGAAATTCTGCACTATGCAAGGAAGGGTTGCGAACTCAATTATTTAGAATCTTTGAAAATTCACAAGCATAAACATTGCAGGTGCAACCTGTTACATGACCAAATCGATTTAATTTACTCTCCGGTTTTTAAATTGGCACATGCGCATTGTGAACTGTAAATTCAGGTAGTCAATCAAGTACCTGAATGGTAAATATTAGCGAATGTAATGAATAATTCTCAGTTTATTGTTTAAGTTTGAAAATGTCCATATAGGACGAAACTGCAGTAACGTTAGTTACAAATAAAAGTGGTAAAAAACATAGAAATTTCCATTTCTTTTTCCATCATGATCTCCTACCACATAGTAACGGCTACATCCATCAATTTAATTCTCATGATGCATTCAAACCACATTTTTGCTTCATAACTGTGTCTTCTTCCATTCTGATAGCATACAAAAAAAAAACAATGTTCGCAATGAGGGACTCCCCCACGAGGCACTGAAGTACCGGGTCCCCCCATATTTGTTGATGTACAATAAGCATATAAAAAATTTGCTAAGATGTCAACAGTGTGAGTGTGGTGTCGGATCCCACAATTTTGCAAATTCTCAATAACGTATCAGAAAAAATGGACTGGGATGTTCACACCGTGATGTGTGATGAGTCCCTAATTTTGACACATTCATAATAGCGTATCCAAAATTTGCTGGGATGTTCACTGTGATGTTTTGAATCCAAATCACAGAAAGAAGACATATTCATCATTATAGCAAATATAAGATTTACAGTGCTTGACACTGAATTACTTGAAACACCCTCTGTATTACTACTTACAGCCACATGGCTTTTACCAGTATTTTATAATTTCAACTAATTTTATAATTTCAAAACAGCTTCGGCTGAACTTCGCCCTTCCATCAATTTCTATATTTACTTCTTCTTTATAACAATGTTAATAATCTTCCTTATATGAGTGAGGAGTCAAACCTTTTTCAATTCGGTGACTTGTTTCATCTTATTGACATGTTCCAACTGCTTGAATGTCTTTCCAAAACGGCCATTCTCTCTAACAGTAAGTTGTGCCTTTTTGGAACAACTTTTATATTATTGTACCACTTTTTTGTATTTCTACTTCGAAAATGATAATAAACTTTATCGGAATATTGGAATAACTTCTGTTATACGAGTACACTTCTGTTCTGCTGATCACCCAAATATAGTTCCTAAGTTTCATTTCATAACATATCATGTTCGTTCGTACCAGAACGGACAATAAGGTCCATGCTTCGTAATCCCAAGGATCAGATACCACTGGAATCACAAGGAGTGTATGAAGTACCATGCCATAATTGTGACAGGACTTACATCGGCCAGATCAACCGACGAATCAACATTCGCAAAAATGAACACAAACTAGCAGTGAAGGGAAAAGTCACCACGTCTTCTCTCTTCCAACACGTACTTCAAACAGGACATAACATAAATTGAAATCAATATGTTAAACTGTTGACAGCACAATGCTCCGTAGGTATCACAATTGCATACGCGAAATAACCTATGCGAAAAAATCCACTAGACTTTGGTAAATAGATATTCATATTACATCGACCATGAGTACAGGTACCGAATGGAACCGCTATTAACAACTTTTACAACTATGAACCATGAGTGCCTCAAATCGAGTATACTGCACATCCTACTGTCAGAGTATCGAAAGCAGTGCTGTAATACACCCTTGCATTGCTGGGTCCTCGTTCTGACTCAACGAATCACGGCAGTCATCTGCTCAACGAGCAAGTGTGAAATTTCAACCGCTAGGTGAACGACAAAATGTCTCGATTTCGAAATAATATTCTGGGGATCGTCGTATATTCCCTCACTGGCGGCTTCTATTGCGGACTGAATATTTCGATGGACTGAAACATCAGCATATCATGTTTCATAAAAAGAATATATTTAACTTCGACTCGATGTCGACGGCAAAGTCTCATCTCACGGTGAATGTTCGAAATCATATGACGTGCACACTTCTCAAGGTCGACTGACGTCAGTCAATGTCAAACGTCAAAGTCATTCAAGGTCGAACCACAAGATCGCTTATCGGAACAGGTACTGATTCCAAGATCAAGTATAGCTTTGAAGCTCATATGACATTGAATACCGCTCAAAGTCATGTGATATCATTTAAGGTCGAAAAGGGTGGTGGTAATTAGGGTGAAGTCCTCAATCGGCCATAGCCTACCACTTATGTTTTATTCCACCTTTTTGTACCACGGATAGAGTTATATTTTCACGTTTATTTTTCTTCAACAGGTAACACTAGTGTGAAGTCCAACTAAAATTGTTATCGGTATTATCGCTAAATTTCCTCCGTGCTTCTCTTTTCAGTCGCCGATATTTCTGCAATCTGTCTTGAGTTGATAAAATGTTTTTACTCAAATCCACTATAGTAGTGTATACTATTCATGAGAATACAACAACAAATATTTCATCTCGATAGCTTTCATCATTGTCAAGTAAGTTACATCAACGCACTCTCGATAGCCAGATTTCCATCCCGAGATACCGATGGTACAGCATTCTGAATTCAATTGTGCATATTTCTACTATATTCTGAAATTAATGTATTCACAATGAAATATGAAATTATTCTTTCCTTGAATAAATTTGTTGGCACTATTTTATTTTTGGAAACAAGTATAAAAAATGTTTTGAGTTTTTTGGTTTGTAGTGATACACCAATATACCATGCAATACTTTTGTGGGACTTGTTTACTCATTTTCTTCCAAAACCGATGCAATCGTTCAGTTGTTTGACAACTGAAAGTTATCGATTGTCCATACCGGTTACAGCAAACATCTTTTGGAGAATTTTTTGCGCATAAAATAACTTTGTGTATATTATTATATTTCAACGGAAGGAAATTGATATCTTCTAATCTGATCTTATAGATTGTTGGATCTCTGGTTGGAGTAGTGTCGGTCTTCGTTTCGATACAGGGAATGTGTCCAACCGTATCGTAGATCGAAATTCATTACAGTCGATGATCCTCTTGTGGCTCCAAATGTGGGATGTGATCCAAGGACTCTTAGACAAGCATTTCTATCTCCGAAGTGGCGTTATTGTGCACCACGGCGATGTAAAGTATATCGTCTAGGTGGTTTACTCAGCGGTAGTGAGTTGAGTCTTCCGGGAGGATAGCTCCAATGAGCTCAAAATCTTTCAGGATCCTCGCGAAATCCCGACCTCTACGGTTCTCATCCCCACAGTTCCATTAAAGAGGTATCATTCAGTACAGTGTGCAGAAGGAAGTAGGTCGTATCATCCAGATCATTGCCACTTTTGAAACTGTTCAACTCCATGCTACATATTTATTCAAAGTGTGATTTTTTTTCAGCGCCGAATTGCCATCTCGTCCATGGTACTCTCGAAACGACACTGACGAAAATAATGAACTTGCAAGAAAAGGTTACGAGGCAATCTACACCATTATGCCTCTATCAGAAACAGAATTCAATTCTGTTGCACGTCAAACAATGAGAGGTTCTATTTGGCTTGATGAAATGTACGATGGAATGATAATGTATCTACAAGCGCTGAATCAATCGCTTACTAATGAAAAATTCGACGGATATGCGGAGCATAATATTTCAGGATGTAGAATGTTTCATGGAATGATGGGAAAAACATTCAGAGGTGAGTTTTTTTACTAGCATTTACTAGCTGGGGTACCGGCTTTTCACAGGAAAGATTTTTNGGTTATATTTTTAGGAGTAATTAATTTTTGGAAAAGAAAGTAGTAGAAAGCCAAAAACTTTCTTTCCCAAAAAAGTGTTTTTCTATACCATAATATACATACATATAATTTACAATAGTGGAATTGAATTATTTTAAAATGTTGATGGTTATACCATTAAAACCAATAACATTTGACTTTATTCCAAACATAATTTTTCTTACTTCATTAACCGTAACATATTGTAATCTAAATGGTGTTTCAATATTCTTCATTAAATGAAACTTTGTATTTTCGTGAAGTTCCAGGAGATTATCATCAACTTTTTCATCAACAAAGACTGAACTGAAATAATCATTAATTTGTTTAGGTGTATGGAAAGTAATTGGTAGGTCAATTTTTCTACTTTTATTGCTAATTGTCTCTAACTCAGTCCATAAATGTTTAGAATCATGGCTACAAAAAAGTCTATCTTCTGATAGAAGCAAGAGTAAACTACCGTAACTCCCTGTATCGAGACCAATTAGCAGGTGATTTGATTTTCTTATATCTGAATAGTGCAGATTCTCTTTTTCTATCATCATTTCAAAAGGAAAAATCAGCTGAGGAGCATTTCACAGGGGCATATTTGTTAAATAATGACAAAATAAATGGAGAGAGATGATTGACTTTTTCATCAATGTCCTGTAAACCAAAAATATGATGGAAAGTGTCCTAATCAAATCAGCCCGGAAGAGATCATTATTGAAATTTTCAAAATCTTGGTATTAGTGTATTTTAGATTTTGTTTCATTCCTTTGAAAGTGACGTTCACAATAAACCAAGCAATGATCAGATATAGCAATAAATTTATGGTACCACTATTTTTAACTTATTTCAAATCACCAATAAGAAGCAGGTCCAACAATGTCATCGGTTAATGTATTGTTTGAAAATAGATCAGTGTTCATGTCAGCCAAACAGATGATTTGGTCAACAGTGGAAACAACTGTGGATAGAGAAGCGTCCTGGTTTTCAATGAAAGTTATTAAGTTACCTTTGGGTAAAAATTAACGTTTCTAAGAGGAATGTTTTTCATTTTCATTTCAATCCACAACTGTTCACAATGTTTATTACTACAACAGGTCGTAAACTAGATTTTATATTATTTGAAACATAAACACCGACTCCTCTACCTCTTGTCTGGTAGTGCAATCTGTAAAATTTGTATCCGGAAATGAAAATTATGAATGAATAATTTTCTCCTTGAATATGCTCACTCGGTGATTGAAATACGTGTGGATGTGTTGAAAATAACAGTTTGGTGTTGCGATGAAACTTCAGTATTACAATTCTATAAACAGCTTAAACAAGAAGTGGAACAAAGAAAAATAACGGTGAAACTAATATCAGAATCAAACACTTCAACGGCTCTCCAAAAATAGTGAATTTTTAAGCACTACACCCAGTTACTCTTCAACTGTTATTACGGAAACGTGCGAGGGCTAAACACGAAAGCTAATAACTTCTTTAACGCAGTGAGTTCTAGAGAATTAGATGTTATATATTTGAGTGAAACTTGGCTTTCCAGTAATGTTTTTGATGCAAAGCTTTTCCCAAGCAACTACAATATCCCAAGATGTGACAGAAATTTCAGCCAAAAATTATCGGTCCTGATCAAATACCAAGTTTCGTAGTTGAAGATTGTATTTACCCTTTACTGACTCCCCTACTCCATATATATAATCTTTGTTTGAAAACTTGTGAGTTCCTTAACCTTTGGAAAAAAGCTCGTGCATAACCAATCTTGCATGTCTTTCACAATGTGTCTCCGAAGCCTTGGATAGAAAACTGCAGGTTGACGTCATTTATACAGACATGCAAAAAGCTTTTCAAGCGTCTCTCAGAATTTGGTTTTTCAGCAAAATTGGTGAAACTTATGTCAAACTATCTACTCGATAGAAAACAATATGTAGAGTATGAAGGCTTCAAATCTGCTTTATATACTCCCAGTTCCGGAGTTCCCAAGGCTCGAATTTAGGACCTCTTCTGTTCTTGATGTTCATTAATGATTTAACTGATATAATAAACAATTCAAAACTGCTCTACGCTGATGACCTTAAAATATCCAAGGTGATAAAAAATTATGGAGACTGCTTAGACTTACGGTATGAATTAGATCTGATATATGATTGGTGTTCCAATAATCGTTTGAATCTTAACATTGCTGAATGTCATGTTTTGTCTTTTTCCAGAAAGGAAAGTCTAATACGAAATTGATAACAATGCCATAAGTCGAGTTGATGAAATGAAAGACTTTGGCATTAATTTTGATCAGAAATTCACTTTTGTTTCACATATAGATCAAGCTGTTTCGTCCGCTAGTCGAATGTTGAGCTTCATAATGAGGAACAGAAGACAATTTAAAAATACTAAAGTGATAATCATGTTGTTCTATGCTTATGTAAGATCCAAACTAGAATATGGGGCGATGATCTGGTATCCCATTCATAATTCTCATATACAGCGAATTGAAGCTGTCCAAAGACAGTTCTTTAAATTCTTGTCTTTTCTATTGACTATTCCATCCTTTTGAACCAATTTAATACTACCTATATCACTGAATACACTTAGACTTCTCATTACTGTCACATTTCTATATAATTCAATAAATAATAACATCTCCTGTACTCCGCTCCTACAAAAACAAATTTTTATTTACCACGCCTCAACTCAAGATACGAGAAAACATTTCATTGTCAGAGTAGTAGAACAAATGTGCATCTCAAAGCACCAGTAAATTTAATGTGTTATAATTTTAATTCAGTATGTAGCATGTGTGACATTATTGGAAACTCTCTGAACTTTATCAAGGACTGTATCTTCTGTTGTTAATAGTTGTCAGCTATTAAAAGTTTTAGTGAAGACTGACGAAGCGTATGGTGATGAGTGATTCTTATAGATAGTCAGTACCATTCTTTCGTTTCAATTCCAAACGAATTATCATTTCTTCATTACGAAAATCGATGATCCTGGAATATTGGTCGAGCACTCGCAGCGTAATATTGTTTATTTCGTCTCTATGTGCAATAGATAGGTATATGAGGTGATTAGGCGTTTCGTCAATTGCGTATCCTGGATCTACATCAACAGCAAATTCGTATATCGTATGAGACGCTGTGTCGTTGTAGAATGCTCCAAACGTAATGTTGCTATCTATGTATATGGTACGTACTTTGATGATATCCACAGGTAGATCGGATGCGTAATGTTAGTTAGGTTTGAGAAGAGTAGATGAAAACCCCAAAATGTGAGCCAAACTATTTGCAGGTCGGAAATCAATCGAATGTTTCAGGCAGAATATTTCACTTTTCAGCGTATTATTATTCGATTTG